TAGTAAGATACAGTAATCTAACACCCAATGTTTGGGTTTTAATACATCTCAAGGTCTGAAATAAAAGAAAATTCAAAGAACATATACAACTGCTACTGCAGAGTGCAAAAATTAAATAGGCTCTCTCATGTTATTCTAAGCCTCTTGCATAAATAGCCTCAATTATAACAAAAAAAAGTAATCATATTTTAATTATACCTATACAGCAGATGTCCCATTTACTGCATGAAAAATCTATTCCAAACAAAATCTATAATAAACCAAAAAGTGTTTTTGTGTATGGAATCAAGATACAACATTGATTTTAATGTAATGTAACTTTGTACAACCAAATTTATTGCTTATTGATATTGGTTGTTATGGTAATGGCCAATGCTTTTATGTGTACATGTTTTAGAACCCCACTTTAGTTGGATCATTTTGTAATTTCAGCATGCTGTATGGTGGATATGTTAATGAATAAACATCATTGTTTTGACCCAAATTTTCTTGAAATGAAAACCCATAATTGATATTAGTTCAGGTTATAAAATGATTTAATATAGCTTAAAAGTTAAATCATTAAAATTATTTGACATATGTTTGTATTGGACCAAGAGATGATGGCAAATTTGATAAATCATCTTGGAGTCATAAACGATAATTTTCTATTTGATGATAACACAGGCCTGCTATGGTTTTATTGTCTTGAAATGTTTACATGTTCTACAGTAATTCCTGTACACTGAATTGGAAAATGATATCCATTTTCCTCCATCACATACAGGTTTTTCACAAAACGTCATAATGCAATACATAAAAGAATGACCACAACACCTAGTTTTGAGACTAAGAGATGTAGATTTCACAAAAAAAAAATCAGGATGCGTATTTGTTTGACACCAATGTTCTTCCCTTTTCATCAGTTTGCTTGTATTTTTGTTAACAAACATAATAATAAAAAATGTTCATTGTGGTAAATGAAATAATAACTTGATTGAAATAAGAGTTTTTTTTTTCTTCCCAATTTGTAAAAATCCTTAAGTGATAGAAAAAAAAAAGAGTATTATTTTCAAAATCTGTGTAGCTGAATTATGGAAGATCTGTCATTAAAACCAAAACAACTTTTTATGAAGTTTAAATTCGCAGGCCTGTGTAATTATTTCTTAAATAACAATATGTTGCCCATTGCTACTATAGTTAAGTTTGTAAGATCATTCACGTGTATTCTTATATTAGCATAAATACAATTGATTTTTCATGCTAATACAAAAAAAAAAGTTTGTGGTTGGAATAGATATTTACTTTTTAAAGTTCTATTATTAAGTGTTTTATTAAACTTCGAGTTTGAAAGTACATACAGTGTGTTTGAGCAGTTTTGTATTAAGAAAAAAAAAATGGCTGAGTAATTTTTGTTGTGCTATTCAATTTATACAGTAATCAACAGTGAATAAGCATTTTTACATGGCAAAACAAAATTTTTGTTTAAAACCATATTTACTTTGGATAGTTTAGAAATTAATGTTGTAAAAAGAAACTAAGGACACAGTTGTGAAACATAAAGCCTTCTTGAAATTTTCTGCTCTTGTTTAGCATGTGTGTACATGCATTATATGATTAAGTAGATAACACTTTAAAAAGGAACAAAATCGATCATGAGTAATTAATATTAACTTTTGAACACTACAAATTCCCTTTCTTAGGTAAAAACTAAAAATCCACCCAGGTATGGGTATTGCTAATTGAATATACTTTTTTTACTTGTCAAGTACATTTGTAGAATCTGTCTTTAATGTCAAATTTTGTGAACATAAATGTATGTGAATTTATTAATTCTGACATCTATATACTACTAAAACTCAGAGATTGTTTGTTTGCTTGTCTGTAATTAAATACAGCAAAAATGGTGCACAATAGTGCCATATTTGTAATGAAATAAGAATAGAAACAGAATGAAACAAGTTTCGTTAAAATCGGGCCATGGGTTACCGAGCCAGCCCCATTTTTTGGGTCACTAATTAAATTCAGCAAAAACGGTGCACAATAGCGCCATATTTGTAATGAATTGAGAATAGAAACAGAATAAAACCAGTTTTGTTAAAATCGGACCCATTTTTTGGGTCACTTTTATAAAATTTCTAGATGAATTTAGGTACACTAGATGGCGCCACATATCAGTTTATATATATTCGTTTTCCACATGATGAATCAATTAAAAATATTTTTTATACAACAATATATGCAAATAGAAATTAAATGATGAGATGAAAATGTGTTATAACTGCGTGTAGAAAGAACAACAATAAAATGGACCTACAATATTATTGACTATTTGCAGTTATGGAGACGAGGTAATAAAATAAAAATCAAGTCGAGAACAACAATAAAATTTTATAAATGAAAATCTCTCGCCAATATTGGCTATTATATTATTTTCCTGTCAATGTTCCCATCTTCATTAAAAGGTGTAAGATGACAAAAACAAGATCTTGAAGAATCTATCTATTTACTACTAAAACTCTGAGATTGTTTGTTTGCTTATTTTCTCAGTCAAAAAATCATTCACACTACCGTTTGAGCTCTTTACGAAACTTCATCGGGCCACGGGTTACCGAGTTAATGTTGTTTTTCGGGTCACTTTTATGAAAATTTCTAGCATGAGTAATTTTACATCACACTACTGTTCTCGCTCTTTATGAAACTTCTTCGTTCAAATATATTTCCCTGTTAATGTTCCCATCTTCATTAAAAGGCATAAGATGACAAAACAAGATCTTGAAGAATGTGCCTTGGTTATGATAGGTAATTCGAAGAAAAATAAAGTGTTACTGTTTCTTATTTGTAGAAGGTTTAAGAGGAAATATGACAACATAATGAACTAATTCATCACAATACCTGAAAACTCTGACTTCACTTTTTTGAAAAATGAAATGGTCTTTATTTTTACTCCCAATCAACAATCAAATATCTTTTCTTGAATTATGAATAACATGAATGGATTGAAATATTTAATTAAATTATCTCAAAATAAACCTTCATTTCAGTGCAAGATTGAAATTAGCTTGAATTCTTCATAACATCTGAATAGTGGGTGACCCTTTGGGTCACAGGTTGTCTAGTATAATTATAAAAACAGGCAATTTGTAGTAGAAAAATTACATGTTAATCACCTAGCTCTATAACCAAGCACAGTGTTTGTTAATCAAATGTTAAAGTAACAGCTGGATATAAACATTAACGTTTGGCTTGGATTAACCCTTTGAATATAAAAAAATGTGATGATCAATAAAGCCAATCTTTTTTTTTATGCTTATAAACGTTTTCTGACATATCAGTAATGTCTAAGATTAGTGGATATTATAATAAAATACCAAATTGTGACCTTATGCAATATTGCACATGGGTACTTGTTTTGTATTTCACATGAATCCTGAAACAAAAAATAATGACAAGTTTCTCCATATGTTTTTAATATGGTGTAGTTATTGATAACTTTAAAGAAAAGACAAAGTATGCCAGGTTTTAATCTTCAAAAAATTGCTGGGTGAAGGAAAAATATGCAATATTGCATGTTATCTTAAAGGTCATGGAAGTGTGAAGCCCATGTTTTTGACAAAAAGCTATGGTGAAAGAATGGAAGCTCACCTGAAAACTATACTGTTGGCAAGCTTAATTTAATAGACTTTCTGATATTGTAATGAAATTATGAACTATTTTGTTTAGATATACCTTTACAGTACTTCTAAGTTTTGTGTGTAAGAAAGCCTGTTTCAGAAGTATATCTTTTAAGTTATATATGTAAATCTAAACAAGCAACACCTCTGATACAAAAATTACTGAACTTGAATCCAAAATATTATCATATTGAAAGTTTGACCCCTGAGTTACTTTTTAATTTGTGATCTTTGAATTATTTGAAATCATAGTGATATTCTATTAGACACTAACCCTAAAGTAAAATTGTAATTAAAAGAATTTATGATTACAAGACTTTATGCAGCCATAGCACTAATGTTGTTGTATGTACTGTGTTAAAAGTCACTGTCCACTTAGTATGCTAAATAAATAGTAAGTCAGGCTGATTTAATTTGAATTTTTTTTAAAACAAATTACAAGGATTGTCATTAAGAATTGTAATAAAATTACTTTAGACAGGACATATCTGTTTTATTTGATACCTTCCATTTGAAATAAAACTAATTTGATGTATCCGTTCAACAGGAAAAATGTTAATTGCTGTTACATACATATATGCCATTAATAACCCTGAGTATTTTAGAAATTTATAACCACTTCTAGATCTCATTTTGAAAACTGTTTTCCTTGTAAGTATAGAAAATCAATATTCAGATTCCTAATATGACACCTGTATCTATTTTTGAGATGATCTTACACCTAGTCAAATATGTCTATTTTTCATTTTGTGGGATGATATCATTTCATTGTAACACATATTTGACATTTCAGGAGTAGTGAGGAATATAAATTCTAAAATATTCATGTGTTTTCATCAGAGAAGCACCAATGATACAATTTCGGAACTTTTTGCCCAAAATTAGCACAATTGATTATCAGTTGATTACAGTATCTACAAGTTTATTATGTACAGAGTTGTGTTTTACATTTATGTTTCTAGTTAACCTTGTGGTGATATATAGCCTAGAATAATATTACAGATGTATTGAATTGATAACAAACACTCTTTTAAATTATTATGCTATTCTAGAAAACCATCAAGGCATCTTAAGGTTAATGGTAATGAATACGGTATCTGACCGTATCTCTATATCTATGTATCTGTCTTTCTATCTATATATATCATCCATTTATTGATCTATGCATCCTTATACAAAACCCATAAGGTTGTGACATCAGATTCTGTATTTAGCTCTGTATGTTTTTGAAAGAAAATATAGCATACAGAATCATTTTTTATATCAAGTCAAAGTTATATTATGTTTGGAATATGATTTTGAAACCTTCTGCTGTATTATTCATATTATTTAATTTTATGTTGCTAGTCAATTTCCAATACCCATGGAGAACTCACTCCTACATATCCTGCCAACATAATAATACCAGAAGAGTTGCTTCCCGATAACAGTCATTCAAATGACAAGTAAGTTATTCTAGATTGAAAAAACTTGAACTATTCATGAAAATATCTTTATTGATTATACTGTATTGAGGGATCATAGTATTGGAATATTTATATTGATCAACTGAATGTATATATGATTATATAATGTCACTGAATGAATATGTTTGCAATGCATCATTTAAGTATGTTTTATGTTGTAGTAAATTAAAATTTTTACATTCCATGCTGGTTGCTCACATTACTAGATGTGAAAGTTCTGTATCAAACTAAGTAATAGGATGCAGTGCATAAAATGAAGGATCTGCATTATACAAAATGAAATAATCTGTATCTAACTCAGTTATATGTTTAAGTTCTGAAATAAACTAAATTAATAGCCCTACATTGTATGAAATGAATGGTTGTTATCATACAAAATAAAAGGGTCTACTTCATATGAAATGAAAGTCTTTGCAGTGAAGTACATGTGATTGAATGTTTTTAATAATTCTAAACTCTGTACCAAACTAAATCAGTGGCTGTCATTCCTTTGAATGTAAAATTTTACACTCTTTCAAATGAAACGCTCTACACTAAATGGAAGTATGTTCTGCATTTTATTTAGTGAAAAGCTATGTTCATTTGAATTGTTCTAATCATACTAAGTTAAAGCTTTATATCATACTATAATTATTAAAATGTAAGGCTCTACATCTTATTGAACTAGATGTAGATCTGCATCATACTAGATGTAAGGTTCTTTATCTTATTAAATTAAGTGCATATGTTCATCATATTAAATGTAAAGCTTTTCATCTTATTGAATTAAATACAGACCTACATCATACTGTGTGTTAAGTTTTGCACTTTATCTATTTAAATCTAGTTCTGCATCATACTAAATGAAAGGTCCTGCATGATATGAAGTTAATGGTTACATTTTACTAAAAAAATAGTTTTGAATTTAACTAAATTGTATGTATTACAGTTAATGATAGTTTCTAAATCGATACCTCATTTGTTCCAAGGTTTTGTTAAACTTTAAATACAGGTATGTTTTGGGTTCTTTTTTATTTCTTTTGTTGGTTAAAGGCTTGTGTAGTTAAAAATGGATTTTGTTAAGTATAATGTTGTGGTAATGAGGGTCATTTGTAATTTGACATTGTGTGCATATATATATGAACACAAAAAATTATAATTTTTGGATTATGTGCATGTACTCATTAAAGATGTTACTGCTATAAATCCTTTTTTTTCTGTACTGTATGTGTTAATGTGTCATATGCAAGCTGCTTTAGTATTTCAGAAACTTAACAAAGTATGCTTAGAATTTAATGCCTTGAGCTTGTGTAGAAAAATTTATAATGTTCAATTGAAGTACATAAAGTACTAAGATCAGTGAAATGGTAAGTGCTTTCTTATGAGAAGATATGCAGATTTCAACAGTTAAGATGGTTTATTCAAATTAGTTTTTAAAAAGCTCATGTTGTTGGATCTGTTTATGAAATTGTGAAACATAAAATGTCAGGTGTGATAGCAAATATTGTAGAAGAGCGTACTTAAGTGTAAATACAAGCTTAGATTTCACACCCAGTGTCAGTGCTGTTAATAATGCCTTGAAACAGATCCATTAAAGTGTATGTTTCTTTTTTTCATTAATAACTTCTTTTGATAACATTCTGAAATATAAAGTGTTAGGTTGAATTACTAATCATCCAGACAGGTTTAAACAACTACCAGAATTTATTTTATGTTTTGTTGCTGATATAAATGTGGCAGTGTACGTAGTTTGAGTGACAGCCTTTGTGATGAAGGAAAACTCAGGGATATGATGATCAAAGCTCGTGTTGCCCGGTGCCGAGCACGACTTCCACTGCCAGTTATTCTGTTAGATGGAAAGGTAAGACGTAACTTCTCTATCTTACTGTTTCACCAGCTCTTCTGAATAATGAGTAGTTTAATTAAAGAAAATATTAATCAATAATATATGGTGTTAAAATATATTAATATAGTATGAAAAAATAAAATCTTTGGCCTAATTTTAATGTAGAATGACATCAATGAAATTGATGAATTAGATTTCATCAGCTTAATCCAATTCATTCAGTAACAATTGTTGTCAAGTAAGATGCCAATATAATTAGTGCTTCAGCAACTACTATGTCTGTCATATCCAATCTGGCCTGAAGAGCCCTGGTATTGGGTAAAAGGTTTGTCGGGACTGGATAGAACAGTTTTTGTGTGGTTGACATATTATTATACACAGTTTTTTTACTTTCACTCAGAATTTCTTATTAATAATAGTTTATATGAGTTAACAATTCAGTAATGAATAGTGTTTAAGGCAAATTATTCAGCATAAACCAATTATTTATTATATAATCATTTTGTCAGCATTCTCTTAAGAAACTATAGAGTCATAAATTATTTTAGTACCATTTGAATTTTTTTCTTATTGTTTTATTTTGCCAGCTTGTATAAACTATATTAAATGTTACTGATGTGAGTAGTCTCACTCATTTGTAATTAAACATAGTCATAAAACACTTTTCAAAACATACTCCTTATGAAATGGCTCTCATGAGATTATCACTTTGTAATATGATAATATGTAACATCTTAAAAATGATGATTAATGTCGTAAAACATTCTTTAATAGAAAAAAAAAGGTGCTGTTTGTGTACTTTCAATGTTTAAATGTAAACAACAATAATGAATTGTAGTGATAACATTGAAAAAAAAATTTGGTCTTAAACCATGTTGTTTTGACTTTAAAAGAAATGAATAGAAGGTTACTTTGTAACAAACATTATTATTATTTCACTTCTAGTATTCACTTTTAAGTCTTTATCATGCAGTCCTCTTGTTTTAGTATAAGTGGTTAGTGGGCTAATTTGTGTTATTCAATATTAGAGCTAGTGCTGCAAGTATATATAATATTTGTTATAATGTTTCAAAATAAAAACTTGTTTGGAGTTGTCTTTATATAATATTACAGAGAATGATCTAACTCAAGTTATAGACTTTAAGGGAAGAGACAACAAATTATTTGCTACTGGAGAAAACCCAAGTGATTTGGGGTAATTTGATGGTGTTGATTTCAAAAGTGTAGTCAGAATTTGTCCATTGCCTCTAGATTTTGAGTTATTGTAATATCTCAATATTTTATCAGAACTATGTGAAATACCATACAATCAACTCAGTACAATAGATTTATGCTGTGAAATTAAGTTTGCTTGGACAGTTTAATGGGTAAAAGGCATAAATGTTTGATAACTTCAAACATTGACTCTAGTGTATTGGTGTAAAATTCCAAATATACTGTTCATATATGCTATTTGTTTTCGATATAATTGTAGCAAACTGCACCACTTTTGCTTCATTCCCATGCTCACCTGCTCCACCCAGGAGTCTCGAAACCCTCACATGCTCAGTTTGCTAGAACATTCAAGAAGTCCCTTGACTGAGCATTAAAGAGGTGGAGTTAGATGCCTCTCTCTCTCTCTCAGTTACTTCTTACTCACTCAGTTGGTTACTTCTCCTTGCTCTGTGCACAGTCAAAACAAAGTCTGATCTTCTTCCTCACATAATGAAATTCTGCAAAACTTTGTTTTTTAAATATTTTGAATTCTAGTTCAGTAAACATTAATGATGAAAGTCTTCTGGATATATCTGGAAATCCGGATATCTCTAAAAAATCCTGAAAACCTCCGGTTTTCTTCCGGAGAAATACATTTTTTAAAATTATTTATCGGATTTTGGTGTTCCATGCCATAGATAAGCGTTTATGCAATCGCGCGGTTTGTTTACATTTGGCGACAGGGCGCCGCCATTTTGTAGTCTCGCAATGCTTGCTGGCGTGTACGAGACCTTGTATGCTTATAATGCAAACTTCGTGTCATGTGAACGAGATTTTATCTCAAACGTGCTTTAGAAAACGCGGTCATTCTTTTGTGTACCTTTCTATTGAGGAGACAATTGAAGAGCTTTAACTATTCAAAGGTGTTTACCGAAGCGATAATAGATCAAATGAAATGTACAAACAAGTAGATAGGTCGGTGAATATCTGTAGCA